TTTTCAAATACCGGACCTCTGTCGTTTAGGACCACAGGACACTGTAAGTATCGATTTTGAAGTTGCATGACATTTTTTGCGTGACCCTGGCGTGATTTGAGTCGCCGTAGATGAGATCGATCTCAGTCCTCCGTCGAGGCTGGTGGGCTGTTTTCCAACATGGCCGACTTTCGTGGCCTCCGCCATCTTGAATTCTTAATTCGGCTCCTGATTGGCTGAAAATAAATAGCGCCATCTTGGATCTTGGATAACAATAGCATCCATTGTTCTCCAAACAATAGCCTATTGTCTTTCTCGGCTCCTAATTGGTTACCGCTCATATGAGCGTGTATTACTACTGTTTTGTCTTGCATTTGTTGGTTGTTACTTGACACAAGGGAGATGTCATCTGCAAACTCCAAATCATCTGCTTGCTCCCCTAAGTTCCATTAGATCACATTTCGCTGTTCTCTTGTTGTTTCCTTCATGATCCAGTCAATAGCGGGTAGAATTAAAAATGGTACCATCAAACAACCTTGCTTGACCCCAGTATTGACCGTAAAGCTCTCCGAAAGTCCACCAGCATGAAAGACTTTGCAAGCTAGTCATCCTATCGTAGGAGGTTTTGATTATTCGAATGAATTTCCCTGGTGTGCCATAGTGTCTCATAAGGCACCAAAGAACATCAAAAGCCTTCTCGAAGTCAAAAAAATTGACGTAGAGAGAAGTATTCCATTCAATGGGCTGCTCAATTATTATCCTAAGAGTGGCCACCTGATCGATACAGGAGCGGTCCTTCCTGAAGCCAGCCTGCTGATCTCTCATTGTAGCATCTTCAGCCCCCTGAAGACGTAGATTCTGTTCAGTACCTTCCCTACCACCGACATCAAGGATGTTCCTCTGTAGTTCTTGCACTCCCGGCGGTCACCTTTCTTTGGCAGTTTTACAATGTAGCTCTCATTCCAGTCCTGGGGCATCTCCTCCTCTTCCCATATCTTACCAAACAAACCATAAAAGTATCCGATCTAATTAACAATTAGATTATGAGCTCTAGATTTCTATGAGGTGATATCGCCCGGCATAGAAATCGAGAGCGAATTATCTAATTGTTCTAGCAGAATTCTAACTGAAATTAATGCAAAAAACGGTTTCTAATTATTTTTCTACACGTTATTGAACTTTACGCTCTAACAAAATCGCACACGTTTAATTGTGCTTCGTAAATTTGCAGTTGGTTACGCGCGGGCACTCGTTTTTTTCAATAATTTCAAGTTTTTAAAGTCAAGAAACCGGTTATGTCCTTCTTTTAGTCTTCTCAGGAATTTAATTATCCATTTACATCTAAACTTTCTTTCAAAACTTCGGAAAAACGATACTGAAACGTCGCATTTTGTGGAGGACCGCCAGCCACTGCACTCTGATGGCTGATAGTATACGAGTAGCTCAACCAATCAGATTGCAGCATTTGCATTAGTATACTAGTAGAATTCTACTAATATATAATAGACTGCTGCAACTGCCAAGACTATTATTTGAATAAATTACCCGAAGGTAAAAGCGGCAGCGTCGTATTCCAACACGTTACATAAATTTCAAGGCGTTGCGTTCTTTCAGATGATTTTGTTGCTGGCCGCAGCCGGTTAACAAGCTTTGAAAAACCTTGCTGAGAAATTTCTCCTGAGAGTAATTTTGTTCTTTGATGAATTCAGTCTGCAAAGTTTGCTTGTAGGATACCACTGAAAATTTGGGGCTTCCGAGCTTATTCGACAACCGAGTTTTTTCTGACGAACGGGCATCCCAGCCGATTAAAACTGCAGTATTTGCGGCATAAATTTGAGAAAGACAAATTTATATTATCTTGTCGTCAAACTTGAATTTTGATGTGTGTATGTTGATCTTCGCTATTTTTCAGATTAACTGTTATGGCAAGGAATGGATACAAGAAGATCTCTACGAACAAAGATACAGAAATAGTCAGCTTCCTGTCTCTTCTGCTATTTCGATGGATGAATAGTATCTTCAAGATAGGCAGTGAACGACCATTAGAAGAGAATGATTTTTTACCGCTTTCAAAAGAGAATTCTGCCTCTTTTCTGACCGATCAGCTTCAACAAAACTGGAACAAAGAAAAAACAAAGTGCAACAGAAATCAAACAAGGCCTAGACTTTGGAAATGCGTCATAAAGTTAATATCTGTCAAGGATGCTATGATTATTGTATTCACAAGTGCTTTAAAATCAATTTCTCGCCTTCTTCAACCACTGTTATTGGGATATCTTATTTCAATACTGATATCAGCTGAGCCACAGAAAGATAATCTTCTCTACGCTTGTACACTTGCTTTGTGTATCAATGCTGTCATCAGAGCTCTCAGTATGCACCAACACGACTATAGATGTGAGCTGTTGGGTATCAGAATCAGTTGCGCCCTAAAAGGTCTAGTTTACCAAAAGGTAAGCACGAGTAGTCTAGAATAGTTCAACCTGCGACCGCGCTTTCTATTCGTTCGCGGCGGTGCAGTAAAAAGAGCGGCTGATCGTAGTTAAGAATAGCCACAGAGAAGGATAGATCCTGCTTCCCTGAGGCTTAATTACCTTTACCTAGAAGGTAAGGCGGTAGATGAATTTGCAACTGACGAACTTTGTTAGTTCATATCCTCTGGTTTCTTGACGCTTAATATTCTCTAATGGGGTTTGGCGTAAGATAATGAAAGGTTCTCGTTTAGAGGTTTCAAGGGGTATCATGATGCCTAGGTCGTTTTACGCTGGTCGTGTCATGTTGCCCGATTTAGAGCATGTTGCTTGTTCTCGTTTAGAAGTCGTTACTTCTAAAATCCATTCTTATTTTCAGAACTGGATGTTCTAGATGTCCTTTAATTGCATTTTTAGGTTATTTTCTTTGCCCATTTTATCCCGTATTATAAATAATCTTCTGCGCAAAACCAAGACGAGAAAATCCATGACCTATTATCTGGCCAAAAAAGTGCAAATACCTTGCCCTTTGGGGTGGCCCATATCTACATAACTTTAATAGGTGTTACTTTCCCGATTGTAGGTTGACGGTCACGCTTGTCTTTCATAGTATCGATACCGAGTTTACTCTACTCGAACACTAGCTTAATTAATAGAAAAAACCTAACTTACTTGACATTACAGCGATTTTTCACATGAGAAAATTTCTTTAGTTCATAATTTGTCATGGTAGAAGAAAAGTAGTATTATTTGAATTGACGCCTATCTTTTAAAAAAAGACGGCGATGATGACCCTTTAATTAATTAATTTATTTTTTTTATAAAAAAATATTAAACAGTTTTTCTTGTTTCGCAGACGCTTCTTCTCAGCAAGGATGCATTGTCAAAATTCACCGGAGGCCACGTGATAAACCTTATATCAAACGATGTTCAGCGAATGGAGGAAGACACCATCATGTGGCTTTCCACATCGATTTCTTCGTGCTTTGTCCTGGTGGTGATAACCGTGTTACTGGAGTATTTGATTGGCTGGCAATCTCTTATGGGAGTCTTTTTCCTGTGTTTTCTTGTGCCATACTTCGCTGGGTTCTCCTATATTAGTGCTGCACTGCGCTTGCGTACAGCGGCGGTGTCCGACCGACGCATCTCCTTAATGAACCAGGTGGTTTCTGGAATTCGTGCCATCAAAACGCGTGCGTGGGAGGAAGAATGCAGAAAAAAAATTCGACACACACGAAGGTAGGTGGAAAGTGGAAAACAAATGTGGTGGCTTAATATTGACTCCGGAGCGTTCTTGGGTTTTGGACCAACAATCGTGAAATAAACGGTCTCTGACTGCTATTTTTCGTGGTCTTTATGCAAACAAAATTTTCAAGGCAACGCTCTTGTTATCATATCAATATTGATGTATTCTCATATTCCTATTTTGTTCTGTTTCCAGAAGTGAAATTAACATCATCCGTAAGAAAAGTGCCATACTGTCAGGTGTTCTGGCCTTGCAGGACGGTTCCTTATCAATGGCGACCCTATTGTCTGTCGTTACTCTTGTACTAACTGGTCAACCCATCACACCTATCAATGTCTTTATGCTACTAGGTTTTATGGATATCGCAAGAATAGCAGCATGTCGTTACTTTTCCTCTGCTTTACTACAAACAAACGACGCTTATGCGTCGCTGGGACGAATAGAAGATTTTCTTCTTTTAGAAAATATCCCCGCCATCTCACGTGGTCAAATTAGCAAAGATACCAGTGACACAGACAGCGGTTCAACCAAAGCTACGAACGGTCTCTCTGATCAGGAGAAGAAAAAGGAAGCAGTATTCAATTTTCACCAAGTAAAAAATCAGGAAAAACACAGTGCTTTATGTGTGTCAAGTCTGACGCACAGACATACCAAGCGAGAAGACGATTTTATTTTACAGGATATCCAATTTTCCACAAAGTCACAAAGTCTAACAGTCATCACTGGACCAGTGGGAAGTGGAAAATCTACTCTTCTCTCAGCGATCGCCGGTGAGATCACTGACATCAGCGGCAAAATAACCTTCCAAGGTTCTTTTGTTTATGTTCCCCAGACAGCTTGGATCTTCTCTGGAACAATAAGAGAAAACATTTTGTTTGGTCAACCACACGATGAACAAAAGTACACCAGAGTAATTGAAGCATGCGCTCTTAAAGAAGACATCCAGCGGTTTCCTGACTATGACCAAACAGTTGTTGGAGAACGCGGAGAAGTTCTGAGTGGAGGTCAGCAGGCGAGAGTTAGTTTAGCACGCGCAGTTTACGCTGATGCAGATCTTTACTTGTTAGACGATCCTCTGAGTGCTGTGGACGTAAAAGTTGGCCAACATATCTTTGAAACATGTATCAACGAACTACTGGGAAATAAAACGCGAGTGTTAACATCTCATCAAGAACAGCACATGAAAGAAGCTGATCAAGTGATTGTGTTGTACAAAGGCCGTGTGTTGGAAAAAGGAAGTTTCACTGAACTGCAAGAAAAAGGTGTTGTAAACACAACTGTTGACCCTCTCTATCAGACAGTTAGGAACGATAGCAAGTTAACTAAGAGCGTTCCTCGGAAGATTGAACAGAAAAACGAAGATAACAATGGCTGTGAAACAATGGCTCCACTACTTAATGAAGCCAGGGGTCTGGAAATATCACAAGAAGATCGTTCCATCGGAGTGGTTTCATCAAAGCTTTACTGGAACTACTTTAGAAGCGGAGTACATTGGTCAATAATCTGTGCAGTAATTTGTTTGTGCTTCATAACGCAAGGTAAGAGTTAATATTGTAACTACATACTCGTTCATGGGTAGCAATTGTACGCTGTTTTATTTTGTATTTCTTACAGGACTACTATCTAAGCTGGTCAATGACAATTTCATTATGATTTGCTTCTTGTCAATTTTTTTGTCATATTATTTTAATATCGCTTTTTTTTGCTCTCAGCAATGATAGTTGCTCCTGATGTCTGGCTCTCCTCGCTAACAAAGAAACTACCAGAAGATCAGAAAGACAACACGAACCTCATTATCTATGCTTGTCTCGTCAGTGCTTCCGTTATCTTTGCCGTCATTCGAGCATGTGGATTCCTTTTTGTTTCATTAAGATGTTCTGAACGCCTTCATGACAAAATGGTTGTAGCTATTTTACAAGCACCGGTTCATTTCTTTGATTCAAATCCCGTGGGTAGAATACTCAATCGATTCTCTAAAGATATAGGCTGCCTTGACGAGTTGCTGCCCAAGACGTTTCTAGTATCTATCCAGCGAGTCTTGTTGGTGTTTGCGTCAATAATTGTACCAACTGTTACAAATCCTTGGCTTCTATTTCTTGTTGTTCCGTTGATTGTGTTAGTCGTGTATATATCCAAGTATTACTTGAAAACGTCCAGAGAACTCAAAAGGTTAGAGTCAATATGCCGCAGTCCAGTGTTCTCTCACTTCTCCCAGACCCTGAATGGACTGGACACGATTCGAACAAGAGGCAGACAAAGGGATTTCGTGGATCAGTTTTACAGGTACAATTCGTGGTCTATACAGTCTTTAGGGAGGTTTTTAGTTCAAAACCTAAGGGCGTCTGCTTTCCCATTACTGCGTTTAGGGATTGGCTTAGAAATCGTGCGCCACTTTGTCATTCAATCAGAAGTAAAATCGAGACAATTTGTAAATAAAATTAAATCCCTTTAAGTCTTATGGTAATTAGCAGTGCTATGCTATTATTAAGGAAAAAAATATTTTGAACAGAACCGAAAACTTGGTAAAAAGTCCCAACTGGTTGGAGGCTGACTGGTGTTCGAGATGTGGAGACTAATTACAAATCCAGAGCCCTCACAAGGCGAGGCCACCTCCACATATGGGACTCGCTCGCATAAGTTTTCTCGTGCTTCACCTAATGTGATTGTAGGCGTTTTGCGATAAGGACTAATTTCATTTATTAGTTCATTTACTTAGTGCGTTTTTTTCTTCGTTAGATATCAAGATGTTCATAATCAGTCGTATATTATGGTGATGGCCAGTGGGCGATGGCTTGGTGTACGCTTGGACCTTCTAGCATCCCTGTTAATTGGTGCTGTGTCTCTGGCGGCTGTTTTAGTGTCTCAAGATGCCGGTAGGTGCATTTGTAATGTAAATGAAAACCTTCACAACAGACAATACTGATTCTGAGGGTCTGCTGTTTTGAGACCATGCCTGCCTCCTATTCCACTTCATAAATAGCTATTTGCTGGTCAAGTTTCATAGTCTATGGTGGTGTGTGGCAGGGACTTGCAAAGGCTACCATTTTGGTTTAAACAAATTTAAAACACGGATGTAGTTCACGATATTTCTCAGTTCATACATTCATTTATTCATTCATTCATTCATTCATTCATTCATTCATTTTTTTTATTTAAAACTCGGTAAAAATCTCCAATAATTACAATTATTTAACTTTTATTTCCCCGCAGCAGTGGTGACTAGATCAGAGGCTAGCCACTGACACTAAAGGGAATAATCGTTTTCTATATACCACACCAGCAAGTTAAAATACCCGCACAAATTTAGCTAACCTTCAGTAAACAATAACACTTTTAAAGCTGCTTTGTTACTGTTGTTGCTGCGGAGCGAGCATAGCGAGGGAGCAGCAACATAATCAGGATTTAGGAAGAATATATAGAAGGAGGTACGAATTCTCGAATTCATCACTTTTTACCAGAATGCATTGCATTTAACCAGAGTGCATGCATTGCGCCACGATCAACACGAGGATGTCACACCGTCGAGCCGTCATCCTTAAACTTAGCATGTCATTTCTTAGCGGTCTCGCCTCCTTGGTCGAATTCTTAAATGAAGAGAAATCGTCGTTACTAAAGCTTGTAGAACCATAGAACACGCTAATTTCATATATACTGCGATCTATTCCTTTTTATACAAACATGAATTTAAGCTGAAGCTTTAGCATTTTCACACATCGCGATGGACGCGTCCTCGACACAGTCTGTCAACATTCTAGAGACATTTAATGCGTACCAGTACAGAATTTATAAGTTAGATTTCTGCTCCAGCAATTTCCACATCTTTCGATCTTCGCGATCTGGTAAGAGGGAGGTTGATGTGTATCGCTTTATGTGCAAACATGGTTAAAATCACTACGTGCTTTTTTGTCACGATCCCTTTTCACACCTCGACATCGATGCGTCATCACGCATGAAGTTGATGCATTAAAGGACAGATTTTTAGTTACATTTTGGTTGTTCTTTTTTTCTTGCAGACAATTTAGAAATCTTTATTTGCCGCTATTTGGCATAAAATATGTCACTATCAACAGAATGTGCCGCAGCATTACTATCTTTTAGATACCCTAGTTGTGAATCGTTATTGTGAACTGACAAACCGTTTTGTGTCGGTTTCTCCGATAACCTCACGGCTAAGAATAATAAAGCCGTTCATGTAAATACTGCCAATCCAAATTTTGCAGTTTTCTTTGTGTGTGTTAGTAAGGACAGCTGCTTCATAGACTGTTAAAACCTCTTCTTCTTTCACGGTTAGAAACCAAGAAACCATTTTGCTTTCGACCCTCGTGAACTGGCCGGGTGGATAGCACACATGCACTCTATCGTGAGATCGACCAGCTAATAACAATGCGAGAAAAACATTTTTCACTGGTTTGTTTTGTACTAAAAAATTACCTCTTTCTGTCTTTTTTTTTTTTTTTTTTTTTTTTTTCATTATTTTTTTTTTTTATCAGCTTGGGCCGGGCTTGCGCTTGTTTATGTCATCCAGACTTCATCTAGTACTCAATATGCTGTCAGAAAAACCTCGGATGTCGAGAATTTCATGACTTCAGTTGAACGAGTGATGACGTACATCAAACTTGACTCAGAGCCTGGATATAAAGTACTTAGGCTTCCCCCGGAACACTGGCCACATGAAGGAAATATCACATTCCAAGATGTGTCATTGACGTACTATCCAGGAGGGCCTCAGGTACTGAAGAGAATCAATCTTAACATCAAAGGAGGAACAAAGATCGGTGTTGCAGGCCGCACAGGGGCAGGCAAGTCATCTTTTGTGGCAGCGCTCATGCGCATGCCTGACGCTGATGGAGACATATTGGTTGATGATATTCCAATCAAACAGATCAATCTCCAAGAGGCTCGACGATGTATATCCGTTCTTGGCCAGAGCCCTGTCCTGTTCAGTGGATCGCTGAGAAAAAATCTTGATTTCTTGGAGCACTTGCAAGATGCAGATTTGTGGCGAGCTTTAGAGGATGTGAAACTGAAAGAGTTGGTAGAAAGTTTAGAGGGACAGCTGGATTACGAGCTGTTGGAACATGGAGCAAATCTCAGTGTAGGAGAACGGCAGTTAATTTGTATGGCTCGTGTGCTGTTACAACAAAACAAGATCGTCATCTTGGATGAGCCCACTGCACATGTGGATCCTGAAAGAGAGCAAACAATCTGGAACGTAGTGCGTGAGAAACTAAAGGACTCCACGGTAATCACTGTAGCTCATCGTTTAAGCACCATCAAAGACTGTGACATGATTTTGGTTTTGAAAGATGGAGAGGTTGATGAATTTGACAAATTTGATACTTTAGTAAATAAGAAAGGAGGTGCTTTGAGTGAAATGGCTCGAGTTGCAGATATCTAGATAGGCCAATGCCCTCCGTGTTTACAAAACAGACCTAAATCAATTTGAGTCAATTGTTGGCGACTGTTTACTTCATGCTTATAGAAAACAACCAGTAGCATGTATTATATACAATAGAATTTTCTGACTTAAGTGGTTTTGTTACAGACTAAGTGATATTCTTTAGAGAATTTTGTTATGATCCATTTTAAAATTATCCATTCAGATATACACTAGACCGGCTATTTGAAAATTTGAAAGCAAGAATTCTCAAGAGTATCATTACATGGTCTGAAATGAAGAAACAAACCTCCCAAGTTAAAAAGATCTATTAGAATGAGGAAACTGAGCTATATATAACGAAAGTGTGGAACAATCTCATCAAAGAACATTGGGCAAAGGGACTTCAGTCATTATAAACACCATGTTTTATTTTTATGGACTTCTTTGTGATCAGTGGGTGGTATATTAGTCATTCCATTTACTGCTCAGTTTTCCTAGTTTTATATAATCAACTGCCCGGATCTTACACTTTTAGAATTAAGATTTGAATTCAGTGGGTGGAATATTATTAAATAGGCCCTGAATTATAGTCTGCCTTACGAAAATATAACGTGTTTATTATAAAGTAGCAACTAAGTTTTTTCGCCAACCCGGAGTAAGGCGTGCATTAATTTTACCGTCTTTAAATTCTTATAGTCATTATTTAGGTCGTCACCAAACTAAAGGACAAATTAACCTTAAGACAAATTTATCTTTGTTTTATCTAAGTGAATGTACCGTGATGATTTTCTTTGGGGGCAAATAAACGGTACATTCAGTACATTATAGGCTAGGGTTTCGAATCATGATCTGGGCCAGTTTCTCGAAAGCCCCGGAAACTCTTCGGGCCCCGTAAAGCCATTTTTAGTTAGTCTGTATCTCGAGAAACAGGGAGGTGTATACGCTCGCTGAAACTTCTTGTGTGAAGGGAACCTCTGTTGATGTTAAGAATATGTGAATAAAACAGCTCTGTAATCATAAGGTTGGAGATTTTGCTATGCTTTCCGGGTGCGAAAACTTTTCGATCGGGACCTTCGAGAAACGGGCCACTGGTTCGGTTATATGCAGGATATAGTATATTTCACGTCTTGAAAACTATGATAAAATGTTAGACGACAGTTTTTTTCCTGATACCGAAAACTTCGTTGTAGCATCGCGGTCTGATTGGCTGATTAATAGCTTGCAACTCAAGGTTATAACATCACAGGCGACGTTTACTAATGTTACGCATTAATTTAATCGAAAAACTCAAACACAAGAGACAGTGCGTCATCACATATAATATATATTGATAAACCAAGAATAGAATTGAAAATAGGACGCCATAAATGCAGCCGTATAATTGGTGGAATTAGAAAACGTTGTGAATCTGATGAAACACTGTCTATTGCTTGATTTTTTGTTTCAGTTCAATTTTAAACCTAACTATGTGGACGGAGAGATAAGATGGTAAAATTCTATGGTTAATCTGAAAATTAGATAACCAGAGCACTCTCACTCTTTTGAGTTTCCTTGTATTTACTTGATGAATGATTGATGCGAGGAAACAGAAATGGAAAACTGCTGCTCTTTGTTTTAAAATCTAACAGAAATATAATACTCGGGCGGAATTTTCTTAAAACTCAGAAGTGCGTGTGTAAACCTTTGCATTCAGCTAGAGCTGATCTAGGGCTTGTTGAAAAAAAAAAAACTTTGGATAGTGGAAAAAAAAATGAAATTTTAAAAGTACTATGCATAAGAACTGAAAAGAAGTTTTAAGTAACTTGTCTCCTTGTCCATGACGGGTTTGAATATTCTTCGTTCTGTAAGTCGTGATATGTTTTGGCACTTAATGAAGCTAATGCCTTTCTTTTTGCTCTTCTTTCATTTATTCTGTGAAACAGTTTCGGGTAACGTAAATAACAATTCGATTTAAATGGTAATACATCGAGAGTTTAATAAATTATTTGAGATTAATTTCCATTTCTAACCTTTCAAATCTGGCATATACGCTGACTAAAATTGTATCCTTTGTAGTAAATTCATAATTGAATAATTGGAAAAATGTCAGCATAGATCGCCTTTCATTTGACTTGCTAAAAGAATATTGGAAGGTCCTCCGAGGTCCTCAAGCTTGCCGTGCGACTATATCGAGTTAGGCATGCACGCGGGAGTTTAGAGAATACGAGAGAAGCGTAAGAGTTAATTACTCTAGCTAGATCTTGTGTATGTCCTTGTACGGGAACAATGTGCCCCCGATAACTAAGTCATTCATGCCACCTAACTCCACCAACATAGCCATGACTCTCTCATTACCCATGTTGTTAGTTACAAATTATCATTTAAATCGCCCATAACAATCAGGAGATCTTGTGACGAAGTTTTTTCCACATCTGCCTGGAGGGATTCATAGAAGGTGTCTTTTTGCTCAGGATCAGCAGCATCATTTGTTGGAGCATAATACTGGATTACGGTCATCCTCGCCTGCTTCCAAAAGAACCTCGCTCTGATTGAACCTCTCGTTGATAGGTTTCAACTCCAGGAGCGATTTCTCCACACCATTCTTGAGGATGAGCGCTACTCCTTGCTGGCGTAGGTTATCATTCCTGCCTAAGAATAAAATTGTTTCACCGGTCCGTGTCCTCTACGAACCAAATCCAGTCTACCTGCATTCACTGATGCCAAGGATGTGAAGCTTATTTTCATTCATCTCCCTGGTGGCCTGTGCAAGTCTACTACTGCTAAATCAGGTTTCTACATTCCAGAACCAATTCTTGTCTTTGTCTTGGTGCTCAGGGCTCCCAGAATCACAACGACAGCTTCCTGTTGGCTCTCATTGCGACTGGTCATTCTAGCCTTTGAATCTTGGTAACCAATAGGTTGAAGATTTCTTGTTGGTGTGACAATGTTTTTTTATAGAGTGAGGTTGTCAGCCTCACACCTAACCCCCAACCTGGAGGGCCAGGAGACTGATTTAAGTGAGGATCCTCCCCGATTGGCTTGTCCGGCGTGGTTGAACCTGCCAGGAGTATAACTGCCGCCGGCATAGCCCAAAAGAGACCATTAACTCACCAACGCGGGGAGTAGATCACCATCGTGCGTCACGCGTGAGTAACACGCACGATAGAGGCGCGAGATTTAAAACCCAAAAGACCAAAACAAATATGGCGGCGCGCGGATTTTTTCGCGCAAGGTCACCTTTATACTGTTGGAGGCCAAAGTCCCGGAAAAATTGCGAGCTATACACAGTAATAAAAACCTCTATTCAACGGCCACCTCTATTAAGCGGCTGCGGCCAGCTTCTTGCTGTCCCAAGGGTAATTTGGTTTTGTTTCATACCTCTATTAAACGGCCAGGAAGATACGAAGTTGTAGGTTTTTAGCCAGATGAAGGTAAAAGAATGAAACGTAATTGTTTCTTTGGCTTTTGTGCACGTTATGGAAGGTCTTAAATCCATCATTTTTCTGCTTTTTCTCCAATTGCATTCGTTTGTACTTATATTTGATAAATTAACTGAAAGCTGAACGTCGCCCAACGTTGTTTTCGGGTGAACCTCTATTAAACGGCCACCTCTATCAAGCGGCCAGTTTTCTCGTCTCCGAGAGTGGCCGCTTACTAGAGGTTCAACTGTATTTAAAAACCCAATAAAATCGGCAACGTCAGATATTTGAATTTCATATTTGAGTTATTCGAACTAACACTTAGCGCAACACTCACAGTAACGAAATACGTTGTCCTGGAGATGTCAAACGACATATGCGCTTCGTATGCTAGCACTGAAGGGAAAATCTCCTATCTGGTATTAAACATCTGTCGCAGTGAATAAGGATTGATATGAGCTACCCTTTGCGTAATATGAAATTACTATTTTCATAAAAAAAAACTTAAATTTTATAGAGGAAAAATTAAGGTAAACTTTCACAAAGTTCTTTTCTCCGGACTTCCTGCCTACAGCAAAAAGGTTGTTTAAAAACTACTTGACAACACGGTAACACAACGTGGGCAGAGAGCCAACCTTTCGGTGACTTTAATTAAACCTTTCGCAGCATTCACGTCACCGTTGCTTGGCGTACACCGGAGTGATTGAGATAAACAATTTCTGCAGTCGACAACTAATTAGCCGTAAATTTTAACTCATAATTAATCTGTGTTATTTGAACTAACAACAATTACAAGGTGCCAATTAACACTTTCCCTGATCAACAAATTAAACAGAAGTTTTAACAACCATCAGATTTCATTTGAGTTATTTGAACTAACAGTTCCATATTAAGTGTAACACTCGCAGTTAGGTACCACGTTGTCCTAGAGATGACAAAGATATATGCACCCTCGAAACAATGGAATTGCAATGGGAAGTTAAACATACGAACGACCAACCTCCTAATTTGCACGATATCATCCTTAACTAGAGCACGTACCTTGTGAAATATATTTACATATTATAAAGCTAAATTTAATGGTGCTTTTAGCAGGTGATACTGTTGCTATGTTGACCTATTAGTGACAACAACGTGTTCACCAATGATTGGGTAGTTTTTTGATACCATGATTGTAGCATCAACTGACGAAGAGTGGTTATAATGAACCATCAAAATCACAGTCTTGGAAAGTGCTGGAAACTGTTGAGCCACCTTAAATCTATACTTTGTCGCAGACGATACAGAATGATTCGTGAAAATCTTATGCGCCGTCTTCAAGCGAAGAGTTTTTGAGCCAGCCGAGTTCAGGTACTTCTATACCTTCAATGGTAAACTGAGCTGGTAAGCAATAGTAGAACTTCGTAAAGTCGACAGGAAATATCATTAACATTATTGCTTTGCTAGAAATACAGATATTCTTAAATTGACGGCTTCCGATTATGTCGCTTCGTTGTAGATATGCATTGACAGCAAAAACCTCTAACCAGGGTAAATAAATACAAACCGGAATCAAGAATCAAAGTGGCTATTAGCCACTCGACTTGGAAAGTGGATCGTCGGTAAACAGTGGCAATATTTGATGCCACAGAACTGAGTTCTTAATTCTTTGGTCTTATATCATTTACTTATCGAGCTAGAGGGACTAAAGAAGTTAAAGCCCACTGGCATCGTTAACAAATAGTGCAAAACGCAACGGTAAGATAATACACGAGGAGATGTGACACCAATGAAAACGTTCATGAAGTCATCGGTGATCCTTGTTCGAGACCTTTCATGAAGAAAGTACCACCTCTTATCCGATCACAAATGCTAATATAGCTAAGGTAGTACTGGACGCGGGACCAAGTAACAAAATCCCTGTATTGGGGCCTGTCATTTTTTTCCAATCTTTTTCTGTTCTACAATTTCCTTGCCAATATCAGTGATTTCCTCCCCCTGCATTTACTTTCTGGCTGTTTCTTCATCTTCGACTAAACCCATCCATTACCCCCATGTGACAAAGCGTTAAGGAACTTCGCTACGACTACGAAAGCCTTACAATTTTTTTTACACTTCCTACACTTTCTAATTTATTCAAAATCAAAATCAAATTACAACTTACGCTACTCGCGTATTGCGTAGGCTAATCGAGGCGGGCAATGTAATAAATGATGCATTGAGGAAGAAAGAAAAAGAATAACATTAAATTTAAAAACACGTAAGCAAGTGCAATGAGTCGAACTCAGTAGTGATAGGTAGGACTAATGACAAACAGCGTTTTAAACAGCCTTTCCGTAAGAATGTAAGGGATTCCATGATCCTGTGCCAAAACTAGAAAAAGACTTTATATTAACGTTAAATCTCGCTGCGTTACAGTCGAACCGAACGATCGTTGAATTCAACACGATCGTTGAATATTGAACCCACTAATCGTTTCAAGAATGCAGTAATGATTTGATTATTTGAATATTGAACTCGCTAGTCATTTCAAAAATCAATACTAAATTGATATTTTTGAACATTAAACCCATTAGCCGTATTCTTGGAACGACTAGCGGGTTCAATTTTCAACTAACCAATTCATTAATGTAATCTTGAGGGA